TGGCTTTTGCTCTAGGGATCCTTTAACCCTTTTCAAAAAAAGGGGCAGTGATGCAAACAGACCCATCCAGCCAGTCTCTGCCCTCTGCCTCTCCAGGAGATGGACTGCACTAGACAAAGCTGACAAGATCCTTGGCCCCAGAACATACAGGTTTCCAATATACTCTTGGTACAGCTGAAATCCAACACATACAGGCAGGAATCGAGTCTCACCAGATATTGGTGTCAATGAGAAGTAGCACCAACTCGACCAACAATCTGGCAGGACCCAAAAGCATGCAGCACTGGAACCAAGCCTTCATTTCTCTTCTCACCTCAGGACTCTGCCCTTCCCCTCCTCTTTCACACACCAACTACACAGCGTCATATCGAGCGCAATAACTGCCATGAGTTTGGGCACCGGGTGTGGTAACCAACACCACAAAGCAGGGAAGACGGAGCAGAACAGAGCTGAGCTTAGCAAAAGACTCAAGGGGGCTCTTTTCCCAGACTTCATATGGAAAGGGTTCTTCTAGGAGTCACACAAAGTATTTAATGCAGCACAAACACATGTGTGTGCTCAGGAAGGGTAGAAATAAAGACGCTGTGAACTCCTCCATCTGCCGTCTACGCTCCTTGGCTCCAAATTAATAAAACTCCGCAGTGCTTAGCCCACACTTTTCCAGAGGGATCTGCCATGGGGACACAAGCACGTGTTCAGCTTGAGGTGTACAAATTCTGACCTTCGGAGATGCTGAGCACCTGCAGTTGCCGCTCCTTTTAGATGGCGCAGTCGGAGCGCAAGAGGGACCCGCTCCACCCCAGACCCACAGAGGACCGCGGTATTTAAGGGGCTCCAGTCCTAAAAAGGCAGGGCACTCTCAGAGGAGATGGTGACTGGCAAAAGCACCATTACTGATCAATTCCACGTGTTGAGTTACAGCTTCATTTTGTGCCCCAAGGGTAAGCAGAGACGAGAGCTGCACTTTACAGCAATCGGCCAAGACTGAGACCTAGAGAGGGAAGCAAATACCTGCGCGCCTGAAGGTTCAACCTCTGGCCAGGCCACCCCAGGCCGCAGAGCAGAAGACCCCACGTAACCTCCTGCTGTTAACAGCCATCGCCCGACACGCTGCCGTGCCCCTGGCTCAAGCCAGCTCCGCGGGCAAGCGTCTAAAAACGCTGCGACGGCAGCCAGTTTGTCAAAGGGGCCACCAGTGGCCAGACTGAGCTGAGGGCCACAAGCCTTTGGCGAGGCTGCCCCAGAGGAGCACAGCTCGGAGGAGCCGACGCAGAGGTGTCTGTCAGAACGCAGCACCCCCCCGGCACTCACCATCAGCCTGCAGAGCCGCTGCCAGCATTTCTCTGCATTTGTTGCGGACGGCGTCGCAGGTGATGGGCACTGGAGGGAAGGTGGTGATTTTGGGGGTGGTCGGAGTCTTCGGAGGCTCCTGCCTTTTGTTGGAGCTGAAAGAGAAACTTCAGCTGTCAGAATGCCTCGGCTCGGGTCACTGAGAGCAGAGGAGGGATCAGCAGGTTTGCGGCCAAGCATCCTGGTAACCCTTAACACAAAACCAGTCAGAGGGAAAACGGCGCAAAGGCACTTGCCCCGAATCAGCGTATGGCACAATGCAGCAACCAACACCGTCACCCCAGGCCCGAGCTCTCCTGGGGACCCTGCTGGCCGTAAATGGAG